GAATAAATTACATCCAATTGAGTATATTTTCTGATAAAATCAAAACCCTAAATTTTTAACACATTATTTCTAATATATCATGAAAACAAAATCAAAAGGCGGAAAAAAAAAAAAAAACAGCGGAATTTGGTTCCGCAGACATCTCAGTATTCATATCAAATTTCTTGTTGTAATTGACCAGATTACTTAAAACTGAAAATTTTAAATCATACTAGACACAATAAAGATTAAAAACCCTAATTATTGAACTCATTATGTTCAAAATATGCCGTGAAATAAATCAAATAGGCGGAAAAAAAAAAAACCCAAAGTTCTTACCTGATTTTGTGAACCGAAGCCTTCAATCTCCAAAAAACTCTGTTGTTCTCAACGATTATCACAAATTAGTAACAAAAGGTTTTGATTCACAGCTTTAAGATCAAAATGCCTACAAATTTTGAAAGATTCATGCCCAATTTGGCATGAAATTTCAGAAAAGGCGGAAATCCTAAACACCGAATTTTTCGTGATCCAAAAACAACAAATTTTTCCACCATTTAATCCTTGAAAAAGCTGAATAAAGCTGTTTACAGCCTGCAAATCAGATCACATGCCAAAAAAAACAAGAAAAATGACAAATTTCAAAGAATCCGTGAAGAACACTGTGCAACCCGTGTTCTTCATGGACTCGCCGATTCCGCACAGTGAATCGGCGAGTCACTGTGCAGAATCGTCCGGTTCTCTCTAGAACCGGACGATTTCCGATTTTTTCACCGATCCGGTCCCTTTTTCGCGATTTCCGAGTCGAACCGGGCGAGTCCAGTTCGACTCGGCGTTTTTTAAAACGCTGCTTGAAATATTTGATGAAAAATAGATAATGGAGAGAAGATGCACATCTACATATGAGTCGGTCAACTCCCAATATTTATTTAGATCTTCTCCAATAAATGGCAATGATTAGGGGTGGCAACGGGTCGGTTGTGGTCCGATTTGATTCGGTTTGGTCCCAATTGAATCCCATCCAGATCGGTAATTCCCTAATCTCTGGATTTCCAAACAATGTTTGATCATGCAACCAAAACCCTTGCTATTGGATTTGTTTGAACCCAAAATGCTCGGTTTATTCTTATTCATTTTTAAAACCAATTTGAAAACAGAATGACATGGAACTAAAACATGCTCCAAATTAATTCGCGCTTGAAGTTTGAAATGTCTATTTGATGGATGATTAGATATAAAGTTTTAAAACATCAGAAGAATGGAGAAACAAAAATCAATGTATACTTCCCAATTGGTCTCATGTGAATCAAAGATGACTTTACAAAAATATACGCTCAACTGTCCCGATAATTTTTTTGGAAATTTACACAAGTACAATTTTATTTGGGTGTTACAGCGAGAAGGTCCACAAATAGCCCGTATTTATATGGAAGGACAGTACTAGTGAATTTTTTAATTTTATTTTTCAAATTTTCGTTTGATCCGATGTTTCAAACGTCGAACCATTTGATTAATATTCCACCCCAATTGGTCAGATTATTCGCACCTTTGCAGGCGATCTGATCATTGAAACATCGGACCACAACATGGGTCCGATGTTTAAAAATTCAGATCACTCATACTTGTGTTTGTTTAATCTTTTTAGAGTGCATTAAACATCAGTAACTATACTGTCCTATATGTCATGTTGATCCTTGTATGTTGATGCATATTTTATTTGTTCTCAAATAGATTGAATTACGGTCTCTATGTTTCGTGTGCACTATGACAATTAGGTGATGCTACAATGTTCTATTCATTTTGCTTCTAGTATATAGATGCATATTTTATAGGACGTAGTTTGCATAAGGTTGCAACTTAGAATAATCCAATAAGGCGCACCTCTAAATTTTATTATAAATGTAATTTTGATATAAATTTTTTTTTTAATAAATACATCCATCACAAGCCCTTCTAATATTAATTTTTGTATTTTGAAGGGTTGTTAATTCTAGATAAACCCATAATATATATATATATATATATATATGATCTCATGCAATGGTTGTATAGTGGTATAATGCAATTACATTAAAAAACTATGTTAGAAACATCTGTTTGACACGAAATCTTTATATATATACATGATCTCATGCAATGGTTGTATAGTGGTATAATGCAATTACATTAAAAAACCATGTTAGAAACATCTGTTTGACACGAATCTTGACATGTACACTATTTTCATTCTAAAGAATAATCACAAAAAAAATATAATTTTGAAAAAACACCCTTAAAAGTGTTTTTCTAGCCTAATTAATATAAACCGTCCATTTTAGCGAGATAGTTAGATATAGACCTCAGAAGGATTTTTCTATTCCCAAAATTTTTACATAGCGACATCATCATTAGATTAACAATATTAAAAAAAATAAAAAAAGTGATTTTGAATTTGTTAAGGCCTAGATATTGAAATTCACCAAATAGATGGTCGAGATTCATTGTTGGATAGTAGTAACTTTGACTATATCTAGGATTAATTATGAGGATGAAGAGAATGTGTGTGCAAAATTTGATATCTTATAAATGCTAAAAACATAGTGTTCTAGAAGTGTGGTTGCGTTATACTATAAGACAACCGTTGCATGAAATCATTGCTAGTTTTATAAATATTTAGCTCTGTCTTGGATAAGATTAAACCCTTCTAAATGCATAAAACTACATTAAAGACTGTTGCAAAGGCTCGAGTGGGGAGGTAATTGGGGCAAGTCTTTTTTTGTCATGAGTGTGGTTTGTATAAGGTTGGTATGTTAAACAATGAGAATGAGGCCTTCCACCTAAATATGTTGCAAGATGCAAGTCCATGATGCAAGATGCAAGTCCAGTCTTTGAAATCTCTATGACGGCGTAAAAATCTATTTTTTTTTTCCTAATTATGAAATTTAAAATTTTAAAAATAGTACGGATCAAGCATATTTTAATAAACACATAAAAATATTGAAAATAGATGGTCTAGATAAATATTACATTACAAATTGCCATGTCTCCATAACTTGAAATCGAAAATTTTTAGAGAGAGAAACTATATCAAATTCTTATTTTTAGAAAGTAGAAGTATCTTAAAATTTCAAAGAGAGAAACTATATCAAATTTTAGATAGAGAAAGTACATAAAATTTTTAGATGGAGAAATTATATCAAAATTTAGATAAAGTACCTAAAAATATTTAGAGATTGAAACTATCTCAAAATTTTTAGAGAGCAAAACTATCTAAAATCTTAAGTTTTAGAGTATTCTTAAAAATTTAGAGAGAAAAACTATGATAAATTTTACAAAGAGAAAGTATAAGAAAATTTATACAGAGAAATATCTCAAATTCTTTAAAGAGAAAAACTAACTCAAATTTTAAATTTTAGAGAAAGAAAATATATTAAAATTTTAGGTATAGAAACTCTATCAAATTTGAGAGAGAGAAACTACCTCAAATTTTATAAAGAGAGAAACTATCTAAAATTTGTTAGAGAGAGAAACTATCACAAATTTTATGTTTTAGAGAGCGAAAGTATCCAAAAATTTTAGAGAAGGAAACTATATCAAATTTTAAATAGAAAAAGTGCCTAAAATTTTTAGAGAGGGAAACTATATTAAATTTTAAGTTTTAGAGCGAGAGCATCTTAAAATTTTAGAGAGAGAACCTATATTAAATTTTAGAGAGGGAAAGTAGCGGAAAATTTTAGAAAGAAAAACTATCTCAAAGGTTTTAGATAAATAATTTCAAATTTTATTTTTTGGAGAAAAAGTATATAAAAATTTTAGAGAGAAAAACAATATCAAATTTTAGAGAGAGAGAAACTAAACTATCTCAAAAATTTTAGAGAGGCTATTTCAAATTTTGAGTATTAGAGAGAGAGAAAATATAACAAATTTTAGAGAGAAAAAATGTGGGAAATTTTGTTACTAAACAATAGAAATGGAAATGATTGTAAGGAAATCATGAATTTTATATAGTTTATTCAGACAAGAGATTTGAGTAATGCATCCAAGAATTCTTGATACTGAAAACCCATAGATTTTCTTGAATTTCAAATATCCAAAATTCTTAATGGACGACCCTTAATGTGGGAAATGGGCATGGGATGCTACCAACCCAACCCCAACTCCAACCCCTTTCATAATAAGAATGTTTTTATGCATACAAGAAGATCACTATCGATATAAAACAGGGAGGGCTGCATGCACGCCATTGATAAAGTCCAATGACTCCTAAAATTATTTTGAAGCCTTGTAAATACATATATAATTATTTCAAATTTGGTTATATATTTTTAAAATTTAAATATAAATGCGACAGCCAAAAAAAAATGATTATGACCGTTGCATTGCATGTATCGATCTTTATTTACATATTCTGCTTCACACTGTATTAGAATGGAGAGATCACATCCGCAATCAATATTCGTTCACACGTCCATCCCGGTGAGAGAGAAGGGGTGTCATGCACGTGCACCATAGAGAGAGAGACGATGACACCACACAAGCAAGAGAGATAGAGAGAGCGAGGGCCACGCCTTCACCCGGCAGGTGCGGCGGTGATAGAGAGCCACCGGCGACAAACGTACACAGAGCAAAAGGCTTGCATCCCAGTGAACAGCAGCAACACCACCGTCGCCACCACCGTGAGCCCCCTCCACCACCCATATACATACCGTCTCAAAAACTTAGCCATGACCACCCTCCAGCTCCTCCCATAGTACTTGTTAACCTCCTCAATCACTCTATCCAACCCCTCCACCTTATTGTGGCTCACTGTTCTGCTCATCCCATTCCATAATTCAGCTACCACTTTGTCACTCTTCAAATGGTGCACCAAAATCCCTCTCTCTCGCATCAAAGCTACGTCTCTCTTGGTGTCGATGATCCCATTCATCAGCTCGGTGTATCTGGTGAAAATCAATGGACCTGGAGCTGATGCTTCCTCAAATGCGACGAGATTTCGAATAATTATCTCTGAGTTGCAATCCAGAGAGATGGAAGGCAGAGAAAGAGAGCCTGAAGCAGGGTCGAACTGGATTGAGGAGATGCCTCCTGTAGAGGGAGAAAGGGTGACACCGGCATTGCATAGGTCAGTTACAGAGGGGATGTGGAGCTCCTCCATTAACGGGGCCTTCGAAATCGAGCCCTCTACGTTTGAGGAGGCCCGTTCTTCGTTGCTTTTATCAGAAAATATAAGATACACAATTAAGGTCTTCAAGAAAGGGATATTCCATGGAAGCTTGAGAAGGACCTTCAATGGCCTTGAGTTGAGAAGACTTTGGAGTGGACGAAATGGGGGCGATGACATCACTGAGGAGAACAACTCACGTAGAGAGCTCAAGAGTTCACGGTCGCAACAGCCAGCAGTGCTGGGCTCGTAGCTCTCTGGTTCAATGCAATCAGGCTCAGCTTGATCAAATTCCTGGTCCTCCTGTGAATTAGGCCATGGCACCATCATTCTATACAGGACCTCAAGCAAATGGCCACTCTGTGAAACTTCTTTGTCTGAGAAAGGCTTGACTTTCAATGGTGAAATCTCAGCACAAAAACCAGATACCATTGATGCCAAATCCTCTTCAACTTGATTAGAACCCCAACTGTTCTCCAATTCAAGACGCTTTCTCAACAAAAACAAAGGAATCTGGTTTTCCATCATCATCAAATCCCTGATAATCGCATTATGGGCTGACTTCCTCCTAGTGAAATCAACCAAATTTTCCATTCTCGAGCTAACCCTGGCGAAAGACTCTCCCTCTCCGCGCCGCCCATAAGCCTTCAAAAACTCTAGCAAAAAGCAGGCATCAACAGCCATCATCCATGCCAGGGTTTCACCACTGAAATCAAGGTACCTATGATAACAAGCCCTAACCCTGCTCTCGAATTTAGATATATGGTCCACGACGCTCTGCAACTTGTAGCAATGCAACTTTCCCCATTGTTTCTGAGCTCGACGAGCAGCCGATAACTTATAGCGCTGCATTTCGTAGAGCTCCGGTCTACAATGGTGGTAAGGTCCAATGCCGACGAGTTGGGGCGTAAAGGCCTCTGGTTTAATGTTGGAGAGGGGCTTTGGGACTGTGAAAATGGAGACGGGAACGCCATTATCGTCCCCTTCAATCTCTTCTTGTTCAAGGTGATGCCTAATTTGGATGACCCAAGCTTCTTCATCCAAGCTCTGAGACGATGCAGAGGCCTCACGTCGATATCTCATTGCTTTCGCCCGGTCAAATTTTGGAAATTGCGAAAAAAGCAATGGGGAGATTTGGTACACCAGGAAGCCCTTGTTCGAGCTGTACTTATAGAATGTGATGGGGAATTTTGAGGTTCATCACTTTTTGTAATTCAATTCAATGTATGGTGTCCAAACGATTGGGGCCTTGGTTTAATTATATAACGCGAGTAACATGTGGCCTCTTCATTTAAAAGCAATGTGGACTAAGGCACTCTCCAAATATTTGAAATTATTATAGGTTATATCATTGGCTATTTAAAAAGGAAAAAGTTTATACAAGTTTGAAACCTTAAAATGTTGAGTTAATGATGTACATAAAAAATCTAACGAAAAATATTGTTTTAATGTTGACCCTTCTAATTGATCATCTCGACATCGAGATATATGAATTTAAAAATATATATATATATTTTGAGTCCAAGAAATAGTGCTTCTTGCAACATATTATCTAGACTTTCTATTTTCAAGATTTTCATATGCTTATAGATCTACTTGATTTTAATTATTTTTTTAGTTTAAAATTTTATAATTAGATATGAAAATAGATTTTTTGGTAATCCTAAGAATGTTTTACACCAAAACTATATGTTATGATAAAATTTAAAGATGCGTCGTAATTGGATTGTTTAAGGCCTTATAAAAACCATACCCATTTAAAAACTATAACAAAAATATATAGTTATATTTATTTTAATACTAATTAAATATTATTAAATATTCTATATCAATTAAATATTATTAAAACAATATTTATATAATAACACTATTCGAATAGAGTTCAGGTCGGGTCCACATGGAATTGGACCCGAATATTGTTCAAGTCCAAGATTTGACCCAGACCCAACCCGCTAGGTCCAATTCTTGGACCCATACCCAGACCCAGGCCAGATCAGAATGTCGGTTCCCTGGTTGGGTCCGGGTCCATTGCCACCCTATACAATAATACATATGTACATTCAACATAACATTTAGATATATTAAAATTTTTATTTTTTATTTTTGGGTCAGGTCCAATCATGTTCGGGTCCAGATCCAATTGGATCCGAGTCTGGATGCAATACTTTGGGTCTGGTTAGGACCCGATCCTGGGCCCGACCTGACCCGTTGCCACCTCTAGTCATTGTCATTTATTGGAGAAGATCCAAATAAAGGGTGAGGTTTATATAAGGTGTCGACCTTATACTATTGAAGTAAGGTGTGTCTCAAAACTATGCCGAAAGTCTTGAAAATAGATGGCTCAGATAATGTGGTTAGAAGATGAACTATTTTTTGAACTACTAATCCCTTTCTTTTTTTTGATAAATAATAATGATAAAAAAATTTGTATTTTTTCTCTTTTTTTTCCTATAGGACTCAAGCCTGGGATCCAACACCGCAAATTTCATCACCCGACGTGTTGCCCACTTTATACCCTAGCATCTTTTTTTTGAACTACAAATCCCTTTTTTTGTCTTTGAATTTCAAAGTCAATTTTTCAATATTAAAACAACATTCTCTAGTGGGTTTTCTAGGTACACCTTACCTATACAGTATAAGGTTGACACCTTATATAAACTTTTCCCTCGGCCGACTCATATATAGATGTGCGTCGTCGCTCCCTTATCCATTTTTCAGATGAAATTTGCATCCAATATTTTAGGCATTCGTGGGATGGATTTTTAGAGAGAAAATGTGAAACTAGCAAAGAATGTATCTAATTTTCATATCAAATAGAACATGTGAGAGAAGGGAATAAAGTATAGGAAAAAAAGGAGAGTTGAGGGAAGAGAAGCTCTTAAAATATTGTTTTTGAAAGATGGGGAAATACCTCCAATTGCAATGTTATGAAAAAGTGGGAGGGCTAAATTCAAAAATTTGACAAGGATTAATTTATTAAAAAAAACAAAATCTATTTACAATGCATACTATAAGGATGCGTCTATTTAGTTTCCTCTTCGCTAAATTACAAAAATTGTACAATAAAGCGCGTGGAAATGATGCTCTTGCGTGATCTTCTTTTCCACGTTGTCAGTGAAGGGTTTTCCACGTTATTACTCAGGGGTTTCCACGGATCCGAGGGTTTATCCCCGACCAAATCTACAAGAGAAAAGCGAAGGAGTACACGTCTTTTTTCTTTATTAGTTTTTTATGCAGACGGATAAGGGCTCTTGGTACGAAAACGTTTATATAGAGCGTCAATAAATGTCACTAGACGACGGGTTTTGACGCTCAAATAACTTCAAATTACTCGTCTCCATGTCAAGATGGAAGGATATGAGATAAAAATAGATTTTAATTTTTAAACATGTACACCCTACATTATATTTAAAGTTTTAAATTTTATAATTAAATATAAAAATTATTTTAAAGCTATCACAAATATTTTTGATACAAAAACTATATTTTTTTATACTATTTGAATGTAATTATTTAGAGCCTCGACTCTATACGAACCGCACCCTTTAGGTATGGTTTAATGGATTATTTGGCTTATTGGTTACGGGTACGTACGGAACTACGTTTGTTTTAAGTTTTTTTGACAAGTACACGTCACCATTTTACCTCTTGACTTGAAATGAGTTTTGACGAAATGCCAAGCTAAAATATTGGCCATGCCACCATCTCAGTTCCTTTTTATTTTTTATAAGTTTTGAAACAATCGATTGTGGAAAAAATAAAAATAAAGGGTTTCACCAGCATTATGTAATTTACGTAAAATTTTAGGGTATGTATGTAAATCACTCAAAGAAGATTTATTAATTTTAGAGTTTTAGACCGGTATGAATAGATTTTTAACTAAACTTAATACTTGATTAATTCAAATAACCTGAACTTGGATAACTACCACAGTGCAAATATGAAATTGTGATGCTATGTTTGGAATTTGATTTGAACAAACGTACAATATTTTGAGTAAATAATGGAAATTGTGGCTTTTGAAGCTCACTAAAGTCTACATAAGAAGGCGAGTGGATCGTTTAAGATTTGGAACCTTTGCATAGTTTGGATCGTTTAAGATTTGGAAAGCGCCTTTAATTGAAATGTTTAAGGTTGCAATGTTATAAAAACCACACCCTTTTGAAAATAGGCTACAGAGAGCGAGGGGTGCTATAAACTTTGGGAATGGGGTTGAGGCATTAGCAAGCGGTTATGAGCATCCGACTTTCTATTCCCCCTGTTAACCTGTCCAAAAGAAAAAAAGAAAAGAAAAGAGAAGAAGAAGGCTATAACCCCCTTTAAGATTCGTAAGCTTTGCAAATGTCGTACATGCTATAATGCATTTTTTTTAATGGTAACTTCGAATTCATTTGGAAAAATAACCATGTACAATGAACACGATGTACGTTTGCCAAAAATCGACACAAGGAAGTATACACAAATTA